GCCCGAGCTTGCTACCTGAAGCTCACCAGAAAGATCAATGAGGCCGAGGAGCGGATAGACACAATCACCACCGCCTCGGCCGAAGAAGACATACCAAAGGCCGAACCGGTCGGAGACGTGGAAGATGTTCCGTTGGACGTCTCCCGGCCGGAACGAATGCTGAAGATTGGGACACAACTCCCCCAACAGATCCGAAGGGACATCCTCTCTGTCCTGAGGGCGTACGCCATCGTCTTTGCATGGGGACCAGAGGACATGCCGGGCATCAGCCCGAAGGTAATCACACATCGGCTATCGGTGAACCCGGCCTCCTCCCCCATCAAGCAGAAGAAGCGCTACCTCTCAGCCGACAGGAGGGAATTTGTCAAGGCCGAGGTGGCCATGCTGCTCTCCATCAAGCACATAAAAGAGGTGAAGTACCCCACGTGGTTGGCGAACGTCGTCCTCGCACCAAAGCCGCCCACGTTCAGAATGTGTGTTGATTACACTGACCTGAACAAGGCGTGCCCGATGGACCCATTCCCTCTCCCCAACATTGATCAGTTGGTGGATGAGACGGCGGGGTGCGAGTTGATGTCGTTCCTCGACGCGTTCAGAGGGTACCACCAGATATCCATGCACGAAGATGACGCGGAGAAGACTGCTTTTATAACCCCGGAGGGAATCTTTTGCTACCTCGTCATGGCCTTTGGGCTCAAGAACTCCGGCGCCACTTACACAAGGATGGTAGCCCGGATTTTTAGAGCAGTCTTAGGTCGGACGATGGAAGCATACGTCGACGATATGATCGTCAAGAGCAAACAATCCACAACCCATGCCGACGACCTCCGGGGCATCTTTGAGATCATGAAGAGGTACAACCTCCGACTCAACCCGAAGAAGTGCACCTTCGGCGTCCAGGGAGGTAAATTCCTGGGGTACCTGGTCAATCGAAGGGGCATCGAGGTGAACCCGGAGAAAATACAAGCCATCATCAATATGGAGCCGCCCCGCAACATCAAAGAAGTACAACGGCTGACAGGACGCCTTGCGGCCCTGAACCGTTTCCTTTCAAAATCCGCTGAGAAGTCTCTCCCCTTTTTTCAAATAATGAGGAAGGCCACCAGCTTCAAATGGACGACGGAGTGCCAGCAAGCCTTTGAAGAGCTGAAGCAATATCTCGCCTCCCCGCCCGTCCTATCCAAGCCCCAACCCGGCGAGACTCTCTTCCTTTACTTAGGAGTGAGCACGTCGGCAAGATTCCAAGGGCGGAGAACGCCGAGGCCGACATACTCTCCAAACTCAGCTCCGACACCCCCGAGCACATCTCCAAGATAGCAAAGGTAGAGGAGTTGAGCATGTCAAGCATTCACGCTAGCCCCATACTCTCCATACAACACCAGCCGGAGGACTGGATCACTGACATCGCAACCTACATCACCTCCGGCACGCTACCAGAAGACGAGGAGAGGGCCAAACTCGCCAAGCTCAGGGCGCCGAGCTATGTCATTGAGGGTGATAAACTCTACAAGAGATCATACAATGGCACCCTCCTCCGGTGCCTCCACCAGAATGAGGCCGAAGTGGCCATGGAAGAAGTCCACTGCGGCGTATGCTCGTCGCATCAGGGGCCCTTCAGCATGTCGCGCCGCCTCGTCGTCCAAGGCTACTTCTGGCCGACGATGGCGCGTGATTGCGCTGAGGTCGCCCGCAAATGCAGCGCATGTCAACACTATCAAAGGGCACCTGGCCGACCAGCCGTCAACTACGCCCCGGTCAGCACCGCCATCCCATTCTCCAGATGGGGCATCGACCTCGTCGGCCCTCTACCAAGAGCTCCGGGCAACAACAGATACATCATCGTCGCCATCGACTACTTCACCAAATGGGTCGAGGCCGAACCACTCGCAAGCATCACCGGAGCGCGGTGTCGAAAGTTCGTCTACAAGAACATCCTCACCCGCTTCGGCGTGCCGCAGGAGATCATATCAGACAACGGCACCCAGTTTGAGGCCGAACCGTTCCAAAGCCTCCTCCAAGAATGGGGTATCAAGCACCGTTTCTCCTCCGTTGCCTACCCTCAGGCCAACGGGCAGGTTGAGAACGCCAACAGAACCATCTTGGAGGGGCTGAAGAAGAAACTCGAGGAAGAGGGCGGAAGTTGGGTCGACGAGCTCCCCAACGTCCTATGGTCCTACCGCACCACGCCAAGGAGGGCCACCGGGGAGACGCCATTCTCCTTGTGCTACGGCTTCGAAGCCAAGGCTCCCACTGAAGTCACCCTCCCCAGCCGACGGGTCACACAATACGACCCCGAAGCCAATGAAGAAGCCATGAAGATTGATTTGCACCTCATTGATGAAAGGCGGGAGATGGCTTACCTTCGGGCAGAAAACTACAGACGACAAGTCAAATCCTACTACGACGCCAAGGTCCGCTCTCGCGAATTCCAAGTGGGGGACTACGTCCTCCGCCGAAGGGAAGCAAGCAAGCCGACGGAAGGAGGAAAGCTCGCCGTCAAATATGAAGGGCCCTACATCGTCAGCGCCGTCATCAAAGCCGGCACTTACAAACTAAAGAACCCTAATGGGTCAGATGTACCACGATTGTGGAATGTACACCACCTGGTGAAATTTTACCAATGACTCGAGAAGTGGTGAAGCGGGTAACGTCCCCCACCCCTCGGCTTATTGGTTGAATAAAACACCCTCGGCCTAGCGCCACTCATTGAATAAAATTCATGTTTCATCCAATCTTTTAAGATTTGAGCAAAAGAAACCCAAGGACCGCATCGGCCTAAGCGGTGTAAAACACCCGGGTCCGGTGCGACCTAAAAGCCGTCGCAATAAACGACGCATCTAAAGCCGTCGCAATAAACGACGCACCCAAAGCCGTTGCAATAAACAACACACCTAAAGCCGTTGCGATACACAACGCACCTAAGGCCGTTGCGATCCACAACGCGCCTACAAAGCCGTTGCAATAAACAACGCACCTAAATATCGTATCGGCACAAGCGGTGAAACACCCAAATCGGCCGGCGATATGCAGGACGAAGGACCTGTGTGCATGGTCCAACGTCTTCAAACGGAGAAGCATACCGCGTCGTCCGCGCGGAAACCGCAGGACGACAGGCCTGAATTAAGGCTGAGGTTACAAAAACTCCACCCGTCAGTAAAATTTCGCTCAGGACCACAAAGGGCGGCCGTCAAAAGACGATGCCTTATCCGGTCCCTCGTCGACGATAGACGTGGAAAGGCCAAAAAAGGAAGCCACTGACACCAAGCCGAGGGCGTATTTACTCCCTCGCACTAATTCACGCGAAGAGCGTAGCGGACAAACTACCGCACACGGACGAAGGGACAGTAACCCTTCGGCCACCTAAAAAAAAAAAAAAAAAAAAAAAAAAAGAGGGAAGCCGACGGACCGTGCACTCGCCGGCCTCGAGCATAAAACAAAATCCCCACAAAAACCAAGCCTCAAATTTGGCTAAGTACATATCAGGTTTTCACTATACAGGGATCCGAAGCGCACGCTTCGGCCCCAACCATAGCGTCACAAAAGGGAATCGCTTCGGCTTCAGTTATACAAAACCAGTCCATTACTTCGACGATGGGACGCATCGTCTCCAATTAGCAAAACCCAAGTGACGAACCAAAACAAAACACCTACCTCAAGGAAGCTTGACACTCGCAACATTCTCTAAGTCACACTACAAGAGAGACGATGCGCTACGTCCCCAACACTTCAGGATTAAGTTCCAAAAACTCAACTCGGGAAAGACGTAAAGGCAAAAATGGAATTCATCAAGGGACGACGAGGCGCATCGTCTTCAAAGAAAGGAGGTCGCTACGTCTCAGCGGACGGATATCACAAGATAAACTCTTGACACTTAGAAAGATCTCAGAACTTTGGGGCCATGCCTTACTTAAGACGAAAGGGACGTAGCGCCGCGCCAAGCAAAATTTTCAACACTTGGTAAATTTTTCAAACACATGTTCTAAACACAACATCTCCGACGAAGGGGCGCATCGTCCCTATTATAAGATGCAGGGAACACGCGCAACGTCCTCACACACGTACCAGTAAGGCGAAGGTGCGCCCACATCTACACAAAGGAAATGATGGAACGCATCGTCTCAGACTTGGCAAATTTGCCAAGATAAAAACTTACGAAGCAATATCACTCAGACGACGCGACACCGACAAACCAAACACCAAACATGAAAAAGAAAACGAAGCGAGGAACAACATTCATACTTGGAACAAAAATGTTATCATTAATGATTCAAAAAGGGGGCGCTTCGGCCATTACACACAAGAGGGCGCTTCGGCCGTTACAAAAGTCAGGGCGCATCGGCCATCATAACTACAGCTACTAAAAACAAAGAAGGAAAAAAGATACAAGGACATCAAGCTTCTTGGCCTTGGCCACCCTCAACGGCTCCGCTATCAGCATCGTCTTCGACGTCCTCAGTGGTCTTAGACTTGGCCGAGCTCCGGAAGAGGTAGTCGTCACTCTCGGTCCAGGGCCCGTCCTCCTCGTCTGAGCTCAGAATGGGGGGTTGCCTTTCGGATAGCGGGAGTTTTAACTCCTCCTCGGGGTCCTTCATGATCCGCGGAAGGCCGATACCCCTAGGCTTCAGGTTCTTTACACGCCGGCGGAGGCGGCGGTAAACCAACATCTGCATACGCCTCTGGCCGAGGTCGTACCAGACTTCAAACTCCTCTTTCAGGCGGGCTCGGCCAGCTTCCTCCTGAGACCACGCCTCGAAGCGCTCCGCCACGACGTTAAAGCTCCAATCGCGGCGGGCATCGTCCTTCCAACCTTCAGCCATGAACAGTTCAATGGCTCTATCAGCAGCCGCTGTCGCATCGGCCTCTAGCTTCACGGCTCTTTCCTCTGCCAGCCGACGTGCAGCCGCTTCCTCATCCAGCTGAACTTTGAGGCGCCTCGCCTCGTCCTCAGCCACAACGACTCTCCTTTCAGCCGCATCAGACTTATCCTTCAGGGAGCCGGTCTCAGTTCGGAGCCGCTCTAACTGGGAAAGCGCCTCGTCAGCAGCAGCGGCTTTCTTCTCAGCCTCCCGAAGGCGAGCAAGCTCCTCCACCTGCCGGCGCTGCTGCTCCATCAGCATAAAAGCCCCCTGCAGAGACAAATAATGGTCAGAAGAGGAAAAGAATGCAAAAATTACTAGGTACAAAAGCCGGAACTTACCTGGACGACGTAGTCCAAACCGCCATCGAAGAGGCGCACATCCTTGCTCTGCCGCCGCAGGTACTCCCTGTCGGCATCGGGAATGGCCTGGAACAAGACGTCGTGGCCAGACACCTTCTCGTTAAAAAGCCCGCCCTTGGTCGGGTACCGCACCGTCACCTCATACAGGCCGGTAGCCGGATCTCGATCGGCGCGAGTGCTTCCCTTGGCAACAGCACCAGATTTGGTGGGGACTACGGCGGACGAGGCGACATTCAAAGTCAGATCCTCGATAACTTGCACGTCGGAGACAACTTCCCCTTGAACCGACGCCTGCGCATCGGCCATTGCGGCATCAAGGAGAGGAGGGTTCCGCTTCGTCTTTTTGGCACCCTCGGCCGGTATCAGACCCGTCTCGGCAAGGGTACGCTGACCCTCCTCAACGGCCTTCTTCCTCTTCACCACTGGCTTCTTCGCCGCGTCGGCTTGGGATTTGGTCCCGTCACCAGAAACCTTGGACGCTTCGGCCTGTTGAACGGCCTCCATCTCTTTGGCAACCATTTTCTTGGCCTGAGCCATGAAAAGCTTGCGACTCATCTCAAAACCTGCAGATACGATACAAAACAAAGGGTCAGAAACAAAAGGAAAAGAAGCTAAGTACACAAGGATTAAAGAAAAGCTATCAACCTTCGGCCTCGGCCGGGATCCCAATAGGTGGCCCATCGGCCTGCTCAAAGTAACCGGACATCTTCGGCCACAAACCACAGTCAGGATCGCCTGGTATGTAGTAGCGCATCATTCCAAGGGCCGCAATCTTGAACTCAGTAATATAGGTGTTGACGCTCCGCGGCCCACCCTTCAGGAACGCCTCCACCTGAGCATCGATCTCAGCGCTCTTCGGCGGAGTGTGCAAGTTAAAAAGCCCATTATGGCCTTGAGAGGGAAAGAAGACCCCGTCGGCCAACTTCACAAAGCAGAATTTGCTTTTCCACCCGTGGATGGACGAAGGGAGATCTATGAAGGACCTCTTCTTCGGCAACTGCTGAAGCGCCGCGTAGCCAGCACAGTTCTCATGGCTTCCCCGGCCGATCCGGTACAAATTCATAAACAACGCCGTCGTGGGCTCAATCCTAAGCTCGTCACACCGGATAAGGAACCCGACGATGATGGAGTAACTGTTCGGCGTTAGTAGAGCCGGGGGAAGGTCCAACATCTTCAGATATTGGACTACAAAAGGAGGCAACGGAAACCTCAAGCCTTGGGAAAAACTCATTGGATACACCCCGAAATATCCAGGGGGTGGGTCCAAGATGTGGTCCGTCGGCTTCGGCGCCCTCACCTTTCCATAGGGGCCGACGTACAACTGCGCCACCTGGTATTCGCTCTGGGTGCTCTCCGGCCTTATAAGATAAAGGTTTGTCAGATCCAATTGCGAAAGCCCGCCGGATACACCTTTCCAACGACGCGATGTACGTCTCTTCACCACCCCAGAGGACGACGCGCCACCCGGAACGGACGAAATTGGTGGTGGACAGGGGATGGCGGCCGATGAAGCATCACCCGCATTATCTTCGCGAAGCCGGGGCTCGGAGCTCGCTTCGTCCTCACCAGAAGGTTGAGAACCCGCATCGGCATCGGCACTTAGACGCTCCTCGTCCACAGAGGTGCGGTAATCCGCAGTGTTCTCCATCTCAATTTCAAAAGCCTCCACTACTCTTAGATCCACCCCAGGAGATGTGTCCTCGTCGTCAAAAGGCCAATCAGATTCGTTCAGCGAAGCTGTTAAGTCAATTGGGGAGGGGACGCTACGGCCGTCAGGGAACGGCATAACAACTATCGCTACGTCCTAAGGGTAGTTTTCGGATCAAAGTGACTTTCCTAAAGAACACTAGATCTAACACCCTAAGGAGCAAATTATGAAGAAATCAAAGGAAAATTAAGAATATCTAACCTTAGAAGATTTGAAGAAAGCGACGAACACTTGGGAAATCTCGGGACTTTATCTCTCTAGAAAAACTTGGGCAGCAATTCGACAAACAGCAGGGCACGAATGAAGAAGTGGCTTCGGAGTAAGGAGGTATTTATAGAAAACTTCCAAACGGTCGCTACACGTGGCGCCATCCCATTGGCTCCACCAACGGCCACCTCTCTTCCAACCAATCAAGGGGCCCCAATTCAAAGTTACTCATGGAAGTATCCCCTACGGCCAAAACTTGAACTCAAAAAAGCAAGGCATCGGCCGAAGTACCGCTGTGGCCCATTTACTACAAAACTCCGAAGGGGAACGCATCGGCTTAGAACTCGACGTCCTCACAAACCTTGAATAGACCGCTACGGCTGCTTGTGCGCGCATCGTCGATGATAACCCTGGCATTGCGGCCTTCGTCCAAGGGTTCTCCCACAGGGTTATCTTGGACAGGTTCGCCTAAGGGTTGGAGTCGCGACCAACGCATAGGTACCGGATCGGCTCATCACTCCCTTGTGCCTCAGATGCTCTTCGGCCAAAGGAGTGGGGGACTGGGGGACCGCATCGGCCACAAGGAAAGAAAACGCAACGGCCTTAACGCAAAAAGGATGCGCTACGGCTCACCAGCAACAAAAGACGGACAATTCACCTCAGATAAGCATTAAGAGTCGCATCAGCTACCTCAATAGCATCACGAGTCGCGTCGGCCGCAAATCCCAAAATAAAAAGAAACTCACCATACGAGATTTAACACGCAACGGCTGCGCACACTGGGGGACTACCAGCTACGCACTAAAAGGTGAAACGCCTCGTCCAAACAAAAATAAAAGCGCAACGGCTCACTCATGAGTGGTGCCGCTACATCTACCAATGAGGGCAACCGCATCGTCTCCAAGACATAAAAAACCAGACTTCAGCTGATCTTGGACAATAGATCTCGCCTCGTCTAGCTTTGCCACAGACGGGTAAACCACTACATCCACCAACATCAAAGAGCCGCATCAGCCGCGAATAGGAAGCAAAGAATGTAACGCAGCGGCCCTAGGTTACAAGGGTACGCTTCGTCTGATCTTGATCAGAAGATCACGCTTCGTCGGAGATCAGATGACAAGACCCCGCTTCATAAGGACTCAGATAAAGCTAGCGCCCCGTTTCAGAGGACACACACTGGACACCGCTACGTACAAACTCAATCAAACGAAAGATATCGCAAAGACCAAGAACCCCAGAGGCGCGCAACGTTGACACGCACCAAAAACAGGAATCGGCATCGCTACGGCCGCAAAGAAGAAACAAGATTACTCCCTTTCGCTTCGTCTGTGACTCAGCTCAGAGAGTGGGGGACTCCTGATAGAGTATATGGGCTTGGACCCCAAGGCCCGCATACTCAACGGCCCAAAAGCCCCGAAACGAGACACCGATGCCATGCGCTTCGTCCAGATGACACGCGACGTCCAAAGAAGTGGTCCTCAGGAATCGTCGCACCACGGATCGTCTTGGGTCGCATCGTCTTGGGTCGCATCGTCTTGGGTCGCATCGTCCGGGTCGCATCGTCCGGGTCGCATCGTCCGGGCCGCGTCGTCCGCGGATCTTAGGCAGAACACGTTTTTCTGTATCATTTTACTAAGTATTGTACTCAGCCCATTAGTGGCCTTATTTCGCCCAAAGAAGGCGTGATTATTGTAATGGGCCTCCTAAGCCCAAGGCTAGGGGCCCAAATCCACATTCTTACCTATAAATAGACCCCAAGGGGCTAATTATAGGGGATTGGCAAGTTGAGAAATATAATTACTCACTTTCTCTCTCTAGCTCTCACTTTTCTCTAGAATTAATACTCTATCAGTCGGATTATTTGAAGGTTAAAAAAATAAAAGTACACATCAATATAATCAATGCCTTTTAAATAACTTATGCCTTGTTTAACCACATGAATCTTATCAGAATAAAGAATTGTTTTTGAATCGTAGTTTTTGTCGAACAATGAGGGTGTTCATGATCACGAGGAGTTTTCTTAATATTACAATAGTATGTATGAGATTATTATTTTAGAATAATATTACATGTAGTATTGTTAATTCATATATTTGGTGCATATTATGTTTGTATTAATGCTAAAATACGTTAAAGTTTGTTATTTATGCAATAAATTGCTTTTAGAAAGTAACAAACAAATGAATAGTATAATTTAATCTCAACAAACATTAATATTTTGGATTCACTTCATATGATCTAAGACTAGTTAATTAGTATGTCTGGTATTTATATCGTTTGTTTTTTTACAAAATTTAGTACTAATTATCTAATAAAGATAATTAAATATTACAAAGCTAGGAGTTTTATGTAATAGTTATCCTAAGTCTTAAACTATCTAAATTATTTTAGATTTTACTTCTTTTAAATCTCCAATTAAGTACTATGTATTACACTATGTAGGCTATATATTAACTTTGAAACTAAAAGTTAAGGGGGGCGAAAACATATTTATCTAATTAAAGTATGAAAATTTTATGAAAATACTACATATATAGTAGAAATTTTTGAAAGTCCAAAAGGGGCGGCCCCAGCGCCCCCTGGATCCGTCCCTGCGTTCAAAGTATGTATTACTCCATATAATACTTACTCCATATAATACTTGATAGCTCCATGACTCTATGAACCATTGTTAATCGTACGAATGCAATTTCGGAAGGAAAGGCGCAAGTTTAAAATCCACATCTCTGCTTAATTTGTATTGTTAAGAATTAAACACACACCAACACGAAAGATTATAATAATTAACACATGAAATTTGGTAACCCAGTTCGTCATAAAGAACTACGTCTGAAGACGCTACCAAATCAAGATATTGCTATTAATTTCGGGTTAATGATTACAAGGAGAGTAAAACCTAACCCTAGGCTTAAAAGAGCGTGCAGCCCATATCAATAAAGACTCAATTCCCGGTTATACAGTCTCTAACATCTTACATGTACTCCATGATTTGTAAGTTCTCCGGTTCCCGCACCGGAAAGATAGAATCAATTTCCTCTCCCCTTATACTATCTATATTCTATAATGTTCACTTTGTCCTACTGAAGAAGCAAATATACAAATCAAAAGACTTGTTAATTTCCGTTGGTAACTTGCATTGGCCATGTACGAGTCAATATATTTTATGCAACAGGTTGGGAGGCTCGTAAACCGCCGGAATAAATTGGGCCTTGTCTGGTGGGCTGAACGCCTGAACTTGTATATCCAATTCGATCCTTGGTTCCTGGATCCATCTACCCACCCCTACTAGAAATTACTAATCAAACTAAATCTAAACAAAAATTACTCAACCGGGCTATTTCAACTTTTCTACCCATTAGTGTTGTAAGA